GATCGATACTATTGAATTAATAGTGCGTAGAATTCATTTGGGACAAACATTAGCTGGGGAATGGGCCAATGTCAAGAGACTGGGCTATTCAAGTTACATCCCAAGCTTGGAGTTTTGCCAACTTGGGCTTAAGAATCAATAATAACCTAACGTACACGACTTTTACCCCTATTACTTCTAGGACGAGTAAAATGTATGTCAATTTTTCTTAAGCCTTCGCTTAAGAAGAGACTATTTTCGCAATTTCTATATTTACACGTAGATCACCATGAAACAATATTACCCATTTCTCCCAGGCCCACCCTTAAGTCAGGCCTGAGCATGCAATCCAGAGAGAGAGAGAGAGAGAGAGAGAGAATGTGATATGGCCAAGATTTCTATTTCCACGAACACTACCAAATTAAAGGGTAGAGCAAACAATAAAGAGCTTGTAGAGTAGAAGATTCAGAGAACAATACGACAAGATGAATATAATCAGGAGAGTATTTTATTAAATCGAAACAAGATAAGAAGATATATGTTTTACCCTCGTTGCCAAATTCGTTTTTGCCCCGATTGTTGCCTCCTTTAACCAAAAACATCCACGGAAAAAATTGCCCAAGTGCATTAATATTTGATGAAACTCCTAGCTAGGTGAACGCTTGTGCTGATTGTTGCTGTGATCATCCACATGACAATGTTTATGTCAAAACTTATAATTCTTGCAGTGAATTGATTGGATGCATATGGAAGTGACTTTGCCAACATCGAATTTCTTGCATTCTTGATCATGGAAGCATATATTGAAGTCAAATTCATTATATTTAATCGAATTCTCTCTGTAGATCATCTAGAATTGAGAAAATATAGCACGAGAGCATATTCAAATCCATGTAAAGAAATCATGCGTAACGAATATTGAATCTACGAAAAGTATGCATGTATTTTAGACGCCGAACTCATCCTGCCTACCCATATATTTTGACTGCAGAGAACTTTTTCTTTACATATGGAGCCAAGAATTCCGTCTAGGGTTGACACTTTATTAAGAGAACTTTAATTTTTTTTCTTCTAATTAATAAAAATAAAATAATATATATATATATATTNTTAAAATTAATTTATTGAAAAAATTTTTTATGTGTGGGTGAGAGAGAGGAAGAATGTGTTACACTTGGTAGAGAATGAGAGGGAGAGTCAATGTTGTCAAGAGAGATGTTTTAACTTTTATTTTTATTTTTTACNTTTACTGTGCTGTATTTGATACTTCAAGATTCATAAAATACAAAAGGGTCAAACGTCAATAAATATAATGTATACAAATAAAAGAACAAAAAAAGAGGCTAGTTTACAACCTTTCACAAGAAATGATACTAGCCGCATAAAAAATACTATAGTCATTCTTTATATAAACAATCAAACTATTAACCATTGATCACAGTTATGCAACTTAGTTTTCATAATCTTTANTATATAAATTTACTGTGCTGTATTTGATACTTCAAGATTCATAAAATACAAAAGGGTCAAACGTCAATAAATATAACGTATACAAATAAAAGAACAAAAAAAGAGGCTAGTTTACAACCTTTCACAAGAAATGATACTAGCTGCATAAAAAATACTATAGTCATTCTTTATATAACCAATCAAACTATTAACCATTGATCACAGTTATGCAACTTAGTTTTCATAATCTTTATAGATTAAAAAATGAGTCTGACATATTAAAAATTTATTTAGATATATCCATAAAGTGTCCAAAGTGCGTTCAAAAATTTAAGGTTATTTAGGTATGAGACTCTACTAGTTGAGAGAACAAGAAATGATAGAGCGGACACACTTAAATACATTTATAATTATTTGAAATAACCAAATAGAAACATTAAACTAAAAGCCTAGACAACATGAACACCTAGGAAAAAAGACCATATGCAGATAATGAAGAACCATAATAAGACTAAATTNAAAAATGATAGAGCGGACACACTTAAATATATTTATAATTATTTGAAATAACCAAATAGAAACATTAAACTAAAAACCTAGACAACATGAACACCTAGGAAAAAAGACCATATGCAGATAATGAAGAACCATAATAAGACTAAATTACCTCAGATGCTTGTGCCCATAAAAAATCACAGAGCCATCCATTAATAGTAATGAAACTCTGCGTAAAGTTTCCTCCTGTGATATGAGTTACTATCACTTGATCACTTATACTGCTTCAAACATTTATTTGCAATTTCTAACTCAAATAGAATATTACTACCGAAATTGCATTGTACATCCAAAACATGCCTAAGAAGACATGATCCCAGACTGATACTTGATATGTTCCCCCTCTTCCAGGTCNAAAAATCACAGAGCCATCCATTAATAGTAATGGAACTCTGCGTAAAGTTTCCTCCTGTGATATGAGTTATTATCACTTGATCACTTATACTGCTTCAAACATTTATTTGCAATTTCTAACTCAAATAGAATATTAATACCGAAATTGCATTGTACATCCAAAACAGGCCTAAGAAGACATGATCCCAGACTGATACTTGATATGTTCCCCCTCTTCCAGGTCCATCACAATAAAAATGACAATCAAGATTTGTTTTATCTAGTATCAAACGGGATCTGCGAGTAAATAGAACACTTTTTAATATTATCAATACCATTACATGAATTGTAAATACATGAATGTGATGGACCAAAAAATATGTTGTTCCTAATGGAATAAGTAACAAAGCTACTTTGCCACTCATTGTTACTACTAAATCATCACCCCCAAGTTAAACTGAAATTTATTGTTGCATCAAGAGCGATTNCAACGAGTAAATAGAACACTTTTTAATATTATCAATACCATTACATGAATTGTAAATACATGAATGTGATGGGCCAAAAAATATGTTGTTCCTAATGGAATAAGTAACAAAGCTACTTTGCCACTCATTGTTACTAAATCATCACCCCCAAGTTAAACTGAAATTTATTGTTGCATCAAGAGCGATTGCACTAGGTGCTAAAAAATAATATGATTTTAAAAAAAAATCACAGAGGGCCTGTGCCCCCGTAGTCCTCAAGTGGCTCTGCCCATGCACAAAATAGATGTTTATTACAGTTTATTGGTTAAGAATCAACATTAATTCTAAGGGACAGTTTAAGTGGTAATAGGCGTAAGTTTAAAACTCAGATATCTTGAGTTCGAATTTTAACAACTTCTTGGGGTCAAGTCATGAGGGATTTATCCCTCATGAATATCCTAGTCCTATCGTAGATGACTAGTCTTTAGCTGGATAGGGAAAGGGATAAGTTAAGAGGGGTNGAGACAGTTTAAGTGGTAATAGGAGTAAGTTAAAAACTCAGATATCTTGAGTTCGAATCTTAACAATTTTTTGGGGTCAAGTCATGAAGGATTTATCCCTCATGAATATCCTAGTTCTATCGTAGATGACTAGTCTTTAGCTGGATAGGGAAAGGGATAAGTTAAGAGGGGTGTAAGCCATAAATTGAACCACCACACACACCTAATCGTTAAACCAAAAAAGGCAAAAAAAAAAAAGTTATGACCCAACATTTGTGACCTTGTGGTGCTTTAGCATTAAGGGCTTGTTTGATATGTGTTTTGGGAGGGGTTTGGATTGACTTGTCCAAACCCGAGTTTGATCCAAAGATGAGATTCAACATTCAATGCTGTCTATACCCATGTTTGGTATACGCAGGAATATATAATTATTATGATAATATATTTGTATATAAATAATCATTTTGTCCCTTAACCTATTTGTATATATGAGATATATAAGATATATAGGGGTACAAATGTCATTTGTATGTTAAACCCTTAGCCCNAAGGGCTTGTTTGGTATGTGTTTTGGGAGGGGTTTGGATTGGCTTGTCCAAACCCGAGTTTGATCCAAAGATGAGATTCAACATTCAATGCTGTCTATACCCATGTTTGGTATACGCAGGGATATATAATTATTATGATAATATATTTGTACATAAATAATTATTTTTTCCCTTAACCTATTTGTATATGTGAGATATATAAGATATATAGGGGTACAAATGTCATTTGTATGTTAAATCCTTAACCCATGTATGAACCCCCCGGGTTTCATGACCGGACCATCCAACGGACTGAGCTTCCAAACCCTAGGCTAAACATGAATTTAAGAGATTTATTCCCCAACCCACAATCCAAACTACTCTCAAACCCACCTGCCAAACAACTCCTAAGAATTTTCCTTTCACAGACAGGTTTTGCACGGTTTATGGTGAGATTTTTTTAATATTTTTTTTTTCATTTTTTGTTTGACAGATTATCTATTCTGAATTGAAGTGACACCTATTGTAGAGAAATTAGTCCATCACTAAAACATGACTGATAGAGAAAATATTTGAATCCAAGAGTTTAGTGGATGACGGAGAACTTATTATTGGAGTTGCACAATATGTTTTTTTTTGGAGGTTATAGAAGTACAAAATGGGCCATTGAGACTCTTAAAAAGTACATCACAATGATCAGTTCATTACTAGTTAATGATTTTTTTTTTTTTGTTATAGGATAATCAAATTGTGTTGACTATTAGTTCAAGCGAGTTTAGAACAAATTCATTGAGGAACAAAAATAATTGACCCTCGAGAGATATGAAAAATATTGAACCTAAGACTTCTAAATTGTTAGAGGGCAAGCTCCGCCAATGAACCATCCTAAGGGTTGGTGCTACTTAGACAGATTACTATGTAGAAAACTTGCCAAGATCCCAGCCAATCAATCTACAACTTGTCCTAGTTCAGGGGGGGTTCATTACACATAAAACCCATATATTAAATTACCTAGCAATCAGGTGACACCAATTGAAATAGCATCAATAAGACAGCATGCTCTTGTTAGTTCTACACTGGATATATATATATATATATAGTGCCTAAAAAGTTCCTTTCACTTCACAAGACTTACATCTATGGCGGAATTTAAAAGAAGTAAATGTCTATTATTACCATCATAACGGACTCTTGTTCCAAGTCTGCTCATTTTTTATTGAAAATTGTGCCTATTCAAGTGGGCTCATGTACCTAAGTTGGTTTGTTTAAGATAAATGAGCAGGTGATAAATGTAACATGGCACAGACAATATCAAAAAAAGATCAATCCCAGACCAAAGTTTAATATCACAGCCGGAGATTTAAGTCAAGCTTATGTCCATCTGATGCTTGCTTGGGCAATTTGTCCACATGAAAGCTGCCTGGCCAAACCAAATCCAATGCCTCTGTAAGCATAAAAGGTGTCCATGCGACACCGAAGCCAATAGGGAAGTCATCAAATCTTGCTGTCATAGTAGATGTTGTTCCTGCTCTGCTTGGTTTGTGCACAATAGAGTGAGGCTGGACACGAAGAGACATCGCGGTGGGAGAGTTGCCGGGTGATGATTCCATGAAGGTCATGATCCTCTGAGACTGATATCTTTTAGCTGCTCCTCTTTCCCTCTTGTGTGCATTCTGGTGACCCCCCAAAGCTTGTGAACAATAGAACTTCCTCATGCAAAAATTGCATGAGAAAAGCTTTCTACTGGCAGGTTTTGATGGAGAGGCACTGTCTTTAGCAGTAAAGGACTCATTTCTGTTGAGGCTTAAACTCAACCATTCACACATATCATCTTCAACGCCTGTTTCATTAGTACTGTCACTAGTTTTCAATCCCTCATCTCTGTTGATGACTGAGGGCTCATATGCTTCCTCCCTCTGGAAGACCATTTCACCACTGCTACAGCCAAGGAACCAACCCGAGACGAGCAATTTCTATTCCTGAATGCCTATCACCTCTTACAAATCAAAATGGGCTAGTTACATACAGAGCTTACCAGAATCAAGTGGACCGAAAGTTACTCCTGTCCACCGACCCTCGCTCAGACCTTTGCATATAGCCTTTCCACCACTCTGAAGTTGAGTTGGAGAGGGTTGAGGCAATGAAGTGCTTGCTCCTAAATAAGGGTAAATGAAGGAAGGTTGTAATGGACAAGAATGGAGGAATCATAAGGGGAATGGAATTGGCAAGGCATATTATTTAATTTTATCTCATTTTGTTCTAGTGGCAATGCTTGTGTCATCTTTTACTATTGGCTATGTCAAGCTTAGGATTCTATACTTATCTTCTTTATTTTTCTTTATCATCTGTAATGGCCTCAGTTTCTGGATTCTCTCCCAAAAGGGCCAATACAGAAGGTTAACTACATCCACAAAGCCACAACTTGTCAAATCATGATCGATATTTTTATTTATTGTGTGTCTTTTTAATGGGGGCAATGTGTCATATGTCTCACTTTAACTTTGTTCTTTGTACTAATTATATGCTAAATACTATTCTGGGTTATTGTATAGTATCAAAAGCTTCTGCATCTGCTTGTAATTTAAATTAGGGAAGCAAGTTATCGAAAAGTTTGTGCGGGTAGAAAGGTCAATTCANAGGTGCTTGTAGTTTAAATTAGGGAAGCAAGTTATCGAAAAGTTTGTGCGGGTAGAAAGGTCAATTCAGACCAATGTAATTCAAACCCTTCAATCGGAGCACATTTATACTAAAAGTTTCAAGGGTAAATACCATAGTTAGTCCATAAATTTTATATCAAATTTTAATTTGGTCTCTGAAATTTTTAATTGTTCTAATTTATCAATTTTGTTTCAATTAAATCATTCTGATCATTTCTACCTTTTAGATCAAAACAAAAGCATGTGATTTAACATAAATAGAATAACTTAAACGAGAAAAAAATTGATAATTAAGGGATTAAATTAGATAATTAGGGTTCCATATTAAGATTGNTTAATTGTTCTAATTTATCAATTTTGTTTCAATTAAATCATTCTGATCATTTCTACCATTTAGATCAAAACAAAAGCATGTGATTTAACATAAATAGAATAACTTAAACGAGAAAAAATTGATAATTAAGGGATTAAATTAGATAATTAGGGTTCCATATTAAGATTGCACAACGAGAGCTAAAAGCGACAATAGTCACATTATACATGATAAGACTCTATCATATTTATTTTCGAGAAAGTGGGCCCAAGGAACTGGCAATAATGTGACGAAAAGTAGGCAGTATTGGTTCGGGGTGCTTCTGCTTCTCTAATAAGACTATTTTTGAGGGCCTTCAAGATGTGGGCAATGTAAATATAGCAGTTTGGTGTCTCCATAAAGAGGGCATGTTTGTTGTTCTCTCTCTCTCTCTCTCCGATGAAATAAAATAATAGTCTGGTGTTGGATTGATGAGTCACAGCTTTTATGGGTTNCTCCATAAAGAGGGCATGTTTGTTGTTCTCTCTCTCTCTCTCTCTCTCTCTCTCTCTCTCTGATGAAATAAAATAATNTGTGGTGCTGTCCAAGTGTATTGAGGAAAGCTCTGTTCAAGTCCCTTTCACGAAAACGACCCAATCATATACTAGTGTTTTTTGTGGATCTAATTCCAGTAACTCGCACCATGGCACAGAACTCTCTCTCTCTCTCTCTCTAGTTTGCATTATCCCCCTTCACTCTTATTTTGCAAGAGCAATGTTACATAAACTTAAAAATTAAACTTGATAATTACAACAATTCATTTCGTATTGGTTCTTAACATTTATTGAGACTCACTACTTAATTCAATGGTTGTGATTATCAAGTCTAATTTTTCAGTTTAATTTTTAAATTCATGTAGCATTACTCACTTTGCAAAGTCCATTGAGGACAGACCCAAAAGCAGAAGTCATCAATTGAGGGGTTCAGTGGTCAGGGAGGTATCCTAAATGCTGTTCTTTGGTCATCAACCCTCTAAGGGACATCAAACACATTGCAGGCAGCTTTCAGATCATCCTTTTCAAGCATGAAAAAGTTTAAAGGATGAGTTTCATCGGATCCTCCTGGGTGTGTGCACATAATTTAATATGCTAATTCCTAAACTACACGGGTGTCAATTGGATATCATAACATGCACATCAAATTCTGGGCAATCTCACTTTGGCCGGACACTCCCACTTTTTGAAAAAGCCAGTACATTACTGTAGATCACCCCCATAATTGATGCAGCACGAGGGAAAATTGAGGAGAGGTGATTAATGATGTGGGACTGGGTGTGTGGTATTGTCCAAACACAGGCATGTGCTCTGAAATATCACTTCCNGATGAAATAAAATAATAGTCTGGTGTTGGATTGATGAGTCACAGCTTTTATGGGTTTCGTATAATAATATTATCTCCTGGTGGGATGATTTGGGGGTTGGAATATCACCACATTGGCGTGGAAACAATATCGAATTTTGATCCAAATATGATTTAATTAATTGAATAAAAAATGATATATTTTTTTTTCCAAAAATTTGAACTCCAATTAGAATTGGTTATATATATCACACTTCACAGATACAAATTTAAAGATATATTTAAATTTATATCTGGTAGGATTATGATTGGCTCCCAACGATATATGTACACATACAATTATAAGCTTCTACTTTATGGAATTCTACGGGTTGGATTTCAATTTTTAACAAAATTTAACAGTGAAAATGGAATTCTTAAATCAAAATTTGATCCCCTTGACATGCCTATAACAGATTTCAAGTGTTTTTGCTCACAAGGTGAGTAATTATTATAACAGCAAAAACTGTAAAGAATATTTTAGTGCCCCAAAAAAATAAACAACACAAAAATAGAATTTTAGGGACAACTGCCTTCCTTTCTTTTCGGAGAAGTCACATATTTTCTCCTCTATTTTTAAGTTTTCGGGTGGAAGAAGTGATATTGTAAAACATTAGGGTATAAAACTATTAAAAAGGGCAACTACTTTGTGTAAGGGCTGTGCAAAATGAGCCACTGGCCTAAATATCTTCTTGAAATACAGGTAATACCCTGCTTTGTGGGTTTTTTTTTTTTTTTTTTTT